ACAGAAAAAAATTAGTTAAAAGAGTTGGAAAAAAATTGACAAAAAAATTAGTTTGTGAATTAATAAAAAATAAAATATAAAATTTAAAGTTGATGTGATCTAAAAATAATAAAATAATGAGTGATCAACCAATGATTTTAATTAAAAAAATATGTAGTAATAAATTTTTATTATTTAATTATATTGAAAAAATTGAATAAAAATCATGAGATGATATTAAACGGGTTTAAAAATAATATTAGCAATTGTAGATTCGTAGGAAAAAAAATTATCCGCCAGACAAAAACTGGAAAAATTCAAATTCTCATGCACAATTTTATTTTTTCATAAAATCAAAAGCTTAAAATTGAAATAAAAAAGAGAACAAATAGATAGAAATGGTAATATATATGCATGAAACATATGCTCTTACAAGATATATACATATATTTTTTTTTTGGAAGTTAGAAGTTAGTCACAGCTGTTAAAATCAGCGTGCGCTTTATTTTTGTCGTTTTTAGGTCATCAGCTGGAAAATCAAGTAATGGTATTGGGTAAATCATCACTCTGAAAAGGACTTTGTCTGAAAATTATGACGGTAAGTAAACAGAATTTTTAAGTTCAAATTTTCTGTTGGAATAATATTGTAAAAATGAGTATCTCAGGTATAATTTGCTGTAATTTTCCATATATGAAAACAAATCATCATTACAGTTAACACTAAAGCTTGAAATCTGGGGAAATTTTCGTTTTTTAAAAAGAAAAAATCCACCAGCAATCATAAACTAAAAATTAAAATGCCTAATTAATTTCTGAAAGGGCGTTACTATTCACCGCCCCCCCTTTTACTACTCACCGCTCCCCTTGGACAATTTTGCCCTTCTCATTTTTTCTAAACATATCAGACAATTTATGAAAAAATACGTGTCCGGCCGCCGGTTCCGGACAGCTTAAAGCCCGTCCGGAACCGGCGTCCGGACGGCTTAAAGACCGTCCGGAACCGGCGTCCGGACGGTTCAAAGACCGTCCGGAAAGCATGGCCGGTCGGACCGGCCGTGTCCGGATAGGCCGGCCGGACGGCAAGAAAGCCGTCCGGAACCGACGGCCGGTCGGAACCGGTCCGTCCGGTTCGGCCGGCCGGCCGGCAATTTTTTTTATTTTTTTTTTGTTTATTTTATTTTTATTTA